GTTAGATGCTGTAGAGTTGACTAAGACTCATAGTGACCTTCTGGACAACAGATATGCACCTTCCCCTAACATGTGCCGTCCTCGTCATCTCTGTCGTGTCTGAACCTGTTATAACACTCATGGTGCCAATTTTTCTTGTTGAGGATCTTCCTTTTTATCTAACCCTTCCCCTTTCCCAGCATGATGTGTTTTCCAAGGACTGGCTCCTCCTGAAAACTGGTCCAAAGTAGAATATGTACAACACCATCCTGGGCTCTCAGAAGCACCTTGGACTTGCACTTCCTTCAAGATAGATTTGCTTGCTCTTTTGACAGTCCATGGGATAGTACTCATCTCTGATGCCACAGTTCAATGGCATATTCTTATTATGTCATTCTTATTCATTGACTTTCTGATACATAGGAAATAATTTAAAAGACCATGGCTTGGATAAAGTTCATTTTCATTTTTAAACTGACGTCATTGTTTGTTAACATTTTGGAGGGATCCTTGACAGCAGATTTTCCCAATGCAACATATCTTTTCATTTCTTGACTGTTGTCCCCATGGGTGTTGACTGCAGATACACACAAAATGAAAAAATCTATCATGATAAGATCATTAAGTTGATTATCTTTTATTACTTTAAATCTTATTCCATATTTTCCTCACATTCAAATCTAGGACTTACTGCTTTGTTCCCTTGTAGAATGATCAGCAAAGACAGTCAGTCACAATCAAGATCTTTTGACCTCTGGGATGAGGAAATAGCAGTTCACCTATTTTATTGGTTCTTAGGATTACTTGTCTTTTATTTTCTCTGCTCTTCTTCACTCTAAATGGGAAAGACCAATAATTGTACATTAGACAACTGCTCAGAAGCTTTTACCCCCTCCACCACCAGCTGCTATTCCCTAAAACAGGACACAGAACATTTTTTGTGGACAAGGTCAATTTTATTCCACTTGACCTTAATGTCCCCTGAGATTGTGGTCCTGAGCTCCCTGTGCTGTCAACATTGATAGGAAACTTCCACAAATTTTCCAATGTCATATAGTTGTTAGCTGACAAATCAGGAATTGGAAACTAACGGTTAAACTTCACAGGTTGTGCACTAAACAACCAAGGGCTCAAGAAACAGGAGTATGGAGAAGACAGGGGTATGATCTAGGAATAGATCATTGTAGATTTTGAGGTCAATTATTTCTGGAGACTTAAGAAGAAGCTCTTAGAGGGCATGGCTAGCGGAATTTAGGTAAAGACTGTTGGAGTTGAGGAGGCCAAGAAAATGTGAGGTCAAGAGTTACCTAGGTCATCTAGCAGTAGCGCATATGTTCTAACATTTATCTATTCCTGGGTACAGTGTCTATTCCATTAGCAGACTCAGTGCTTTGAGCATATGGAGAATGTCAACCAAACTGGGATGGTTCACTTCCACTTCCGCCCTTTCTCCAAACTCCCTGAAGTACAAATGCTGATTTTCGTGACATTTTTGATTATGTACCTGGTCAGCATGAGTGGCAACTTCTCTGTTTCCCTCATTATATGGAGCCATCATTCTCTTCACACCCCCATGTACTTCTTCTTGGCCAACTTGGCAGCCCTGGAGATCTTCTACTCCTCGACCATCGCTCCTCTTACCTTGGCCAGTGTTCTGTCCCCTGAAAGGACTGTAATCTCCCTTCCTGGGTGTGGTGTCCAGATGTTCTTCTTTATCTTCCTGGGAAGTTCTGATTGTATTCTGTTGGCCATCATGGCCTATGACCGGTTTGTGGCCATCTGTCACCCACTGCGATACACTCTCATCATGAGCTGGCGGTTGTGCATTCAACTATCCCTAGGGTCTCTCGTGCTGGGCTTTACCTTGGCCATGCAGTTGACTGTGCTCATCTTCCAACTCCCCTTCTGCAGAAGCAAAGAAATCAGTCTCTTCTACTGTGATGTTCTCCCTGTCATGAGATTAGCTTGTGCAGATACTCGAGTTCATGAGGCCACTCTATTTGTGGTGAGTGTCACCGTCCTCACCATTCCATTCCTGCTCATCAGTCTCTCCTATGTCTTCATCGTGGCTGCCATCCTGAAGATCAGCTCTGCAGAGGGGAGGCACAAGGCTTTCTCCACCTGCTCCTCCCACCTCACTGTGGTCCTCCTCCAGTATGGATGTGGAAGCCTCATCTACTTGTGTCCCAGCTCCAGCTACTCTCCTGAGAGGGGCCAGGTGGTATCTGTGGTTTATACCTTCATCACACCTGTGTTGAACCCCTTGATCTACAGCATGAGGAACAGAGAGCTTAAGGATGCTCTTAAGAGAGCAATGATGAGGTTCTTGATTCCACAAACACAATGAGTACTCTGAATGTTCACCTGGAATACTGCTGGGGGAGACAAGTGCATGTACCAACTGACTGGTACAGAGAGGAGGTGACCAAGCAGTCATTGGCTTGAGACTTTTACTACTTCCTGGTTAAATTATTTTGAAAAGTTGTTGCTTGTTTATTAATTTCAAGTTCTTAATCTGTAGAATGGGAAATAAAATACCTGAAGGATAGAAATGATTTTGTTGATTCTAGTTGACACTGAGTGAGCATCTAATCAGATCAACCTATGAGTAACAGAACAAAACCTTGCCAGTCCTGTGCCATCTTAATGACCACTGAGTTCTTAAAAATGTCTTTTTGTGGTGATTGGGTAGTGTCTTCTAATATTGGAGGAGATTCTGCCATAGTTATGAGGATTAAGACACATGAAGCCAAAATGCTTTGTGATTTCTAATGTGACTTAGCACCGTGAATGTGGTTATTACCGCCTTCCCCAACTCATATTAAGCCTGATTCCTATGAAGCTATAGCTGATGCTGCTTCTTAGAAGATACTTGGATTGTACATCTGGGCAAAGGTGGAGCTAGAAATAAGATCAAATTAGGTTACTCCAATTACTCTTCCATAATTCCCATGGTGCAAATGCTGAGCTTGTGCTCTATTACAAGGTACTAGTCGACTTACTATGCTTTGTAGGAGAAATGAAGCTTATTTATTCCTCTACTTATTGATTATTTAGTGATTTATCCTTTCAACCTCTAGTACTGAAAGTTATTACATATTGTATACCTACTTGGGGTAGGTAGAGTGCAAAATGGAAATTTAAAAATTGTTCTCATCTTCAAATCTAGAAGTAGATATAGTTGGATTTAAGAATATAAACCAAAGCTACACTAAGAACAAAGTGACACAGTAGAGTGACATTTTTTAGGAGGTGCAATGAAGCAATTCAAAGCAAGTTTGATGAAAGGAGATAGTATTTGAAATGGATAGGCCTCTAGTATTGTGGGAATGCACACACGGGCATGAGGCCCTTTCAAAAAAGGGAGTCTTCTATTTAATGCCTCCACTGCAGTGTCAGCTAGGAATCAGTCCCAACTTAATGGTACATGATGATGACGACATATTGCAAGGAGGGACCAGTCCTTGGAGAAGAATGCCATGCTTGAGAGGGTGGAGGGACAGAGCAGGATAGAAAGACCCTCTATAAGGTGGATAGAATGAGTGTCTGGGGTAGTGGGGGTAGGTGAGTTGGAGAGAGTGAGATTGGCACAGAATAGAGCAGGGTTTAGGGCTATTGTACATAGGGTCGCTATGAGTCACAAGTGACTCAACGGCACATAACAACAATAACAATAACAACAACAACAACAACAACAGAGAACATCATTAATGTCAGAAAAGCTGGAATTCATCTTTATATTTCTCTTTCCATAGCTGTAAAAGGACAAAAAGCATGCTACTGAATTTTTCTTTCATTTTTGTCTGAGAAAGTATCATAAACCTAAAAAGCAGAAACCATGACTAGAATTGAATTTTCACCTTGTTCCTCTGAATGTGAAGGACTGAAAATAATTTCTTTGGTTCATTCCAGGACTTTGAAATGATTTTTCCTGGTTCAGTACCGTAGACAAAGTGAAATTGGATTGGATCTAAATTAATAAAATGTCATTCTGGACAAAAAACAGAATAAGGAAAGCTATTGATGGATGCTTTACTGGATACTTAATCTCCCTTCTGTAAAACAAAGGGAGAGAATGAATTGCATAGTTACCAATTGGTAAATCTGGAAACAATAGTGTCTTGTTCAAAAATGTCAGTCTGTTGACTGACATCATTGTGAATGTATGTTGATCTCCAAAGTATTGAGAATAATCAAATTTCCTCCATCAAATTACTGAAAAGGCTCACCTTTTCTCAGGTACTCATTCCAGGACCTGGATGCATAATTTCTTCCATTCTGATTTTCTTCTAGTACATCTACACTTCACAAATTTGAGCATAATCTGCCTCCATTGCTTTCATATGACAGAGATGTACCTACAGACTTGAAACCCTGGTTCATTCACAATTGCTGCACTTTCTATGCTCTCCTGAAGTATTCATCTTTTAATCATTATTATTTTTAGAGGATTTACCCTGTTGGGTAATTTTTGGAGAAATGAATGTTCTGTGGTCAAATGAACATAAAGAATATTGAGTTGATTGAAATAAACTGAGTATTTTATAGACTGCCAGAAGAACAGACAAATCAATCTTGGAAGACCTACAACCAGAATGCTCCCTATAAGTGATGATGGTGAGACTTTCCCCCATACTCTGGGTGTGTTATCAGGACTGACTAGTCCCTAGAGCAGTGCTTAATCTTCAGAAAAGAGGAAGGTCAGTGAAAAAGATAAAGACCCTCAATGAGCTAAAGCATTACATTGGCTGCAACAATAGTTTAGACATAACAATGCCTGTAAGGATAGTACAGCAGCGTTTTATTTTATCATGACCAACTCAGCGTCACTTGAGGATGAAAACAAGGCAGAATCTCCATTGTACATGGGTTCCCAACGAGACAGAAAACTCTCCTGTAGGTATCAATAATAATAGGGTTGAGGGGCCCTGAGGAGATACAAAAAAGAATTAATGAAAAAATTAAAAAGCCGTCTTACTAAAGGTTGATAAAATTAGATTTCTAGTTTTAATCAGACTCCTTCACCCTAGTTTCTTGGTCTCAGCAGACTGAAGCCTACTTTGTAGTTTCCTCACAGCTGACTTTATCTCTTGGTTCCTCAGCGTGTAAATCATGGGGTTCAGCATGGGCGTCATGACGGTGTTGTTGATGGAGATGGCTGTGTCCATGGGCAGGGTAATAAAGGGCCGGCAGTAGATGTAAATGCATGGCACGAAATGAAGAGTCACCACCATGATGTGGGAGGTGCAGGTGGAGAGCGCCTTGTTCCACCCCTCCCCCGAGTGTGAGCGCAGCATCACCAGAATGGCGGTGTAAGACCCCAGGAGCAAGAGAAACCACACGAGGGTCAGCAGCCCGTTGTTAGAGATCATGAGAAGCTCCAGAGTGGAGATGTCAGTGCAGGCTAGTTTTACCACCTGGGGCACATCACAGTAGAAGGCATCCAAGACATTGGGGCCACAGAAGGGCAGTGGGAGCATCAGAATTATCTGGACAATTGAGTGCACACCGCCTCCCACCCAGGAGGCCACCACCAAGCTCACCCACACCTCCCTCCTCATAATGCTCACATAGTGAAGGGGTTTGGCAATTGCGAGGTACCTGTCATAGGCCATGACAGAGAGGGAAGCTACGTCTGCCCCACCAACAAAGTGGTAGAAGAAGATCTGTGTCATGCAGCCATTGTAGGAGATGGTCTTCTTCTTTGATAAAAGATCCACCAGGAACTTGGGGACCGTGATGGAGGCATAAGCAATGTCCAGGATTGATTTGTTCCGCAGGAGGAAGTACATGGGAGTGTGGAGGCGTGGCTCACAGGTGATGGTGACCACGATGAGGGCATTGCCCAGCACAGATACAATGTACACCAGAAGGAAGGCTGCAAATAAGAAACGCTCCACCTCCTGAAAGGGGGTGAGCTCCAGGAAGATAAACTCCTTGATGATTGTGAGGTTCCCTTGGATCATGATGAAGAAGACCCTCTTTCAGCTCTGCTTTGAGAGAAGAGATGTCAGGATTAGAAATATCATGAGGTGGCAACATTATTTATGATCTATTATAAGACTAAAAGCATCCGGATTATCGTGACCACTTAGAAAAACAGGGGTAGAGCTTTCTCTTTTATGCACAGGACTTTTATTTTTTTCTTCTGAGAATCTTTACACGCCCCCCCACCCTCATTGGAAATATCTTGCATAGAGAATAAGAATTATCACACTTAACTGTTCTATGCCTTTATTCTGACTAGAGGAGATGCATAAACAGTGGTCCGTTTGTAATTTATCTTATGGCTTGTAGGAGTAATGTCTTTGTATGTCTATGAAGCTTTATGTGCTACCAAAGGTTTTTCATGTACGACGCACCATCTTGATTTTGCCTTATGATGACTATGTGGAGTCTACCAGGTGGTTAAATTTGCTTCTTTAAAATTTCCTTTTTAAAAATACATAGAGAACTTGAGGTTAAAGCTGCTAATGATTTGCCTATAGTTGTATATTTGCAGAATTGTTAAGTGACACGTAAAGAATTGGAACACACCTGATTTGTCTGAGATCACACATTTTGTACTGCACCATTCTTTCAGATGGCGGAGTCACAGGGTCTTTGAAAACCTAGTAGTTTACTGGTGTCTTGGGTGCATACTCATTGCTGTTGAGTTGGAAGACCTTCTGTGGATTTTCAGGAAGCTGTCAGACCTAGTGGAGGAGACTGTCCATCTTTGTCCTGTATAAGGTCCCTGGGGAATTTGAACCACTAGGGAGGTGCAATCTTTGGGTTAGCTGCTTTACTCGCTAGAAGTAAGACCTACGAGAGAGAACTTGTCTGGCTCAAGCAGTTGGCAGTTTGAGCAAACTTAGCATCTGACCAAAAAAACCCCAATAAAACAAAACAAAAAACCCCCCAAAAACAAAAACCCAACCAAAATACCTAGTGGACTTCTGTAAATAGCATAGCCTAGAAATACTATGGAGCAGCTGTATGCTGTAACAAATGATGTTTCCATGAGTAGGAAATGACGGAACACAATGAGTTTTATTTTTTTGGTTTTGTTAAGACCTAAATAGTTAAACAGCCTGAGTACTTTATCTTGATTTCCTCCCTTAGACAAAAGGGAAGAACCAGAGTCTCATAGCATTGCTCATGGTGCTTTTGGGACAGCTTGACCTTACCTTAGGCTTAAAGATATTTTATTTCCTTCTTTATGTCTATTCTTGTTTGAGAGGAAGCTTGCTAGTAATATTATTTTTAATACAATAATTTATATATTTTTTATTTTATACCATAATTGCCATTAATGTAATTAATTAATTATGCTACCTTATCAACCCCTTATTATGTATTGCTTTTCACTTTTCCCAGTTTATCTATACAAAGGTATCTTGAAAGTATGTGGACGTTATTCATGGTACATGAATGCATCATAGAAAACTAATCTTTAAAATGGCATAGAACCTCTCTTCTCACTTTAAGAGGGAACAGAAGACATTTGTTTTCTAGAGTTAGATTATAAATGGGTAAAGTAAGGAATTTTAACTGGGTCATTGACCTAAAGTCCAATAATTTTCCACCATCATTGTACTGTAGCAAAATAGTTGTTTTTAAATCACTATCCAACCTGCTGAGGACAAAACCCTTAACAATCAGAATATCTTTCTATACCAAGAAATTGAATATTCCAGATAATTGAAAAAAAATTCAAATAGATGAGATTCCATGAGGACTTGAAGAGAAAAGGCGATAATAGACATAGAATAGTAGTATTGAATTATATAAAATACAATGCATGTGATGATGGTATAAACCACAATTATATGAATAATTATCAGTAAACTAATAAAAATGAAATCTAATAGGAGAACATCGATGAGATGGATTGATACAGTGACTGAAATAAGGTTTGTCGGAGACAATAACATTGGCACAGGGTAGAGCAGGTTTCAGGGCTGTTGTACATAAAGTTGCTATGAGTTTTAAGAGACTCAATGACACATAACAACAACAACAACAACAACAACAACTGTTTATTGTCGTGTGCTGTTGAGTCAGAACCAACCCATAGCTGACTCTTCAGTGGATTTTCAGAGGCACAGTATCATGGGAGGAGATTGCCCATCCTTCTTACACAATACAATAGTAGAAAGTTGATATTAAAGTAGAAATGAAGAAGTAGAAAAAGAATGAAACATGTAGGCTGGGAAAATAAAGACTAAAGCCCTTTCTCTGGAATAGCATAATAGAACCTTCTTCTGCCTTGTACTAAGGAGTTGTGCTGTCAACTCAGAGGAAGTAGTCTGAATCCATAAACTGCTCTGTAGGACAAAAAGGGACAATCTCCTCCCAGTGTGATTTATAGTCTTTGAAACCCACTAGAGGGTCAGCTATGAATCTTTTTGACTTGATGGCACATACCAATTTCAACAGCATTCTTCCAATGTTGAATTTACATTAAAAAAATTTAAGATTTGGAACCCACAGATAGTCTCTTAAATAAAAATTTTTATTAAACATCTTGTATCCCTGATATTTGCACAATTAGAATAATTTCATTTCTAGAAGAAAGAAATATCTTTAAGAATTTTGTTATTATAGGTCCAATAGAAATCCTACTTTGGTATTTGACACCTAATAGCTCACATTTTAGAACTAGTATTAGAGAATTGCTCATTGACATTTAAAAATAACAGAAAATTATGTGAATGGGAGAATATATATGAAATCATAATATTGACTACTATAAAGAGATTTTGCTAGGAAAACATTTCAGAGTTGTATTTGAAAATGGGATCTATTAATTTTAAGCTATATTGATCTTCCGGGAAATATTTGTCCTACAGCCAAATTCAAGAGGGAACTCCCCTGGGAAAGAATGAAATTTCTCCTCCTAGGCAATTTGGGATGTTTAAAGGTTTGTCTCTCTTTATTTTACCTTTCCAAACACCCCAAAATCTCTATATAATTTGATTTCCAATTCAATTTTTTCATGCATAGTTTTTCTTATCTCTCTCTCTCTCTCTGTATATTGTCTCATTGTAAGTCTGTGGTTGTAAGATTTCAGCTTTTTTGTGGGATGTGATGGAGACTATATTAGTCACTAAGGCAGACACAGGTTTTCATATGTGCATGAAAATCAAATAAGCAGAGACTAAATTCACGAAGGCTCAGCCGAAGTAAGGCACGAGCTGAGAGAGCAGAGCATTTTTAGGAGAGAGGGATTGAGAGAGGGAATATGGAAGATAGAGGTAGAGAGGAGGAACCGAGAGTGAGACTAGTTAAATATACAGAAATTGAGGATCCTAGAAGTCATAAATTGTCCTATCCATTTTATATACTTGAGCTCTAATTACTATTTTCAAGTAATATATTACTCAACACCTCATAAATGCATTTTTGTGTGCATTTGCGATTACTTAAATAAATTCCTGGAAAAGGAATTTCTAGGTGAAATAGTATTTTAATTTTCCAATTTTAAACTAATAATTATGATAGTGTTAAGAAAGGATCTAATTCTGATTGTGTTTGATTATTTGATTTTTTTATAGGTAGATTTATTGAGCAGAAGTTAATTCAGAACTTTCAAACCTCATGAAAGTAGGAGACTGAAGACTTTGAAAACTTAATAAGAAATAAAAAGAGCAATTAGAAGAGAACACAATTATAGTAATTATTTTTATCAATCTTAAGATTGAGAAAAACATTATTAAGTATCAAAGAGTATTAGCATTTATATGAAGCACTGATATTTGCAAAGTAAGATTCAAACTCTAACATATTTGTGTCATGTCTGATTCATAGCTGACCTTCCACTGGATTTCTGAGGCCATAAGTAGAAAATCATTCTCCTGTGAAGCCAGTGGTGGATTTGAACTGTCAAAAAGGACTTTTTGTTACAATTTTAACTCCCTCCCTATGGACTATGCCATTAGAGCTTCTTGTTTCCAAAGTAGTGTCCATAAAAGAAAAAATAACAGAATTTAAAAACCTGGGCCATCAAGCAATGAAAACATAATATAAAATTTGTTTATTAAGTTGATATGTAAGAAGGTCTTAATTTATAAGATTTCAGTGAACTAAATAATTTGAAAGAAAAATGGAATATGATTCGAAGAGAAATGCAGTTGATCATACCATGGAACTAAGAATGTTCAACCACACTATAAATAAAATAGCCCCCCAATATAAATTAAACCTGTAATATCACTTCTCATCTAATAGAATGGCAAAGAAAAAAAGATTAATTTTTGGTATGTATGTGAAAAAAGAGAAATCTTCCTATAAGAGTTACAGGTGTAGAACTAGGAAAAAGGATCTCTAAAGATATAGGACAGTAGTGGGAAAATGTGTCAAAATTTAAAATTATGTAAACTTTTTGAGTCTGGAATTTTAGAAATGTATTCTAAAGAGTTAATGGAATACGTTACTTGGCCTTGTGGGTAGAAGTTGTGTTGCCAATCCAAAGGCAAGCCTCTGCTCTGCCTGAGAAAGATGTGCAATCTCCTCTTATATGATTTACAGCCTCTGAAAACCTCTGGAGAGTCAGCTATGAGTTGATTCTGACTCAACAGCAATGAGTCTTTTTATTAACATAAGCTGTATGTTGTGCCTCATGTAATTTTCTTTTTTTTTGGTCAGTTATCTAGAAGGTTCTAGACTATGACACAATGTCATATCAATCAACCAGAAAAATCGCATATGTTGTTTTTGATTTGAAGCAAATGATTTTCTGTGTTAAAGTGACTTATTATTAACATGAGTCTGTATGTTGTGCCTTATGCAATTGTCTTAATTTTCCTATAAATTGTTTTCTGATAACATTGATTTGCTTTAGAGGTATGTAAGGAGGCTAGGCATACTTATTATTTTATTTATATAATTCCATAAAGCCTTAGATGAAAGCATTTGATAAGAGTGTGGAAAGGGCCAGGTCAGGTCTTTGGAAACTAAGGCTCAAAACTACTTACTGTTGATG